CCCTGCAGAGGGACAGGCCCGACTAAAGAACAGCAGTCAAGACGCCACCACCGGCACGAACCAGCCGCTGCTCAAGAGGGAACGGCCTGGTCGTGCCAGAGCGGCCGTCCGCTCCGGAGAGGAGGCGCTGGGGAACCAAGAACTCAATGAGACTGGAGGCACTGAAGGGGGCCCAAGGACACACAAATAAATATTCACAAGTAACAGGATTCCCCATAGTTTCCCATATGTTCTGGATTTCTGTCTTCCCCCCACTTCCCATAGTTTCCCATATTCCTGGGAGTCGACGATTCATTGTGTCTGTGTTTTTCCCCTCCTGGAGCACGCAGATGGAGGCTGAAACACCCAGAGCCATTCCACAAGCTTCAGTGGAGCGGATCCACCCAGCGAGTGCGACGAGGGAAGGCTCTGGAAAGCGGGGGCACGCCACGAACGTGAGCGAAGGTGCCTGCCAGCAAGTGAGCTGTTTGAACACATCGTGGCGCTCAGGAGGGGGGAGGAGAGGACAACGAGGAGGAGCAGCAACAGCAGCAGAGAAGGGGAATGTGGAGCAGGATGAGCGAGGGAGCAGTGAGAGGAGAGCGGCGAAGGAGAGGGCGAGGAGGAGGGCGGAGAAACTGAAGGGGGACAGAGAAGGAGATTTCGGATGAGGGAAAGGATTTCATGACATTATCTCTCATGGCGTCCCCTATGTGCTAGAGCTTATTGTGGCAAACTGAAGGGCCCTATGGTCGCGCAGTACCTTTGGCCTCAGCGATTGTACTCCCCAGGGCCGGTGGTTCCAAGCATGCCAAATTGCAACCTCCAGGAAAACACGGCAAACATTGAGGGAGAGGAGAGGGAGGAGGTGAAGCCGTCTGGTGTCAGACCGTGCGGTGGCCTCGAAATCCCAAAAGACCTCACCGCATGGTCTGTCACCGCACCGTTTTGGACCTTCGAGGCCCTGGTCGCATGAGACAGCCTCGGAGCACGACGCTTGTCCCAAAATCGTGAGGTCAGCCCGATATCCCCACTGACTCCCCCAGCAGCGTGGCCACCGCACCGTCTTGGACTCCGAGGGGTGAGGCGGATGGAGGGGGGAATGAGGAGAGGGCCCGCGAGGGGAGGAGGGGGAGGAGGGGGTGAGATGGGGAAGGTAGGAGACGATGGGGGGGGGAGCGCGCTGTGTGCACGTGTTCTGCCCGCGACGCGGAACCGATCCCCTGCTTGTCCAGGAAGTCCTGGGCGCCCACGGGGTCCTTCTCCAGGGCCTTCTTCATCACGCCGTCCACATCCGCCTGGGAGTAAGCTCCAGTCTCGTTGAGCACCTGGAGGGAGGAAATAAAAGGCCACGTTCGCAGACGTTCGCCGACGTTCGACGACGTGCGAAGTTCGGCGGCGGCGTCTCGACAATGGGCACCTTCAGGGCGGCGTCCCAGCCCCGCTGGTCCCGCGCCTCGACGGCGGCCGCCAGTCCCTGCAGCGCCTCCAAGGCCTCCTGCCGGTTGGGCGCCTGGCGTCGTCGCACGTCGTCGAGCGTCGTCGTCGACGTCGGCAACGTCCTCGTCGACGAACGTCGTCGTCGTCGAAGTCGTCGTCGTCGTCGAGCGTCGTCGTCGTCGTCGTCGTCGTCGTCGTCGTGGTCGTCGTGGTCGTCGTGGTCGTCGTCGTGGTCGTGGCCGTCGCAATCGAACGCCGCGGACTAGCGGCTAGCGCCGTCAAAAGTCGTCGAACGTCGTCGTAGCCGTCGTCGTCGTCAAATATCGCCGTCGGATGTCGTCACCGCCGTCGAGCGTCGTGGACCGGTGCCGTCATCAGGCGTCGTCCTTGTCCTCCTCCTCCTCCTCCTCCTCCTCCTCCTCCCCCTCCTCCTCCAATTGGTACCTGCTGGTTTCCCCCAAGGAGGACAAGCAGGAGCCCCGCCGTATGGGGCCCTCACCCCCAAGGCCCACGTGCCGGCACCGAGGCGCACGCCCCCGTGGCACGAGACCAGGAGACGGAGGAGGAGGAGGAGGAGGAGGAGGAGGAGGCGCACAACGAGGCCGAGGACGAGGGATGACGAGGGCTGCCACCACGGCCGCCGCCGCCGCCGCCGGGGACGACGACGATCAGGGGCGCCGGCGGGGGGGTGATTTGTTCATGGGGTGGAGGAGGATGAGGAGGAGGATGAGGAGGAGGAGGAGGAGAGCAGACCCAAAAGTCATCAACGATGTTGGAATAAACCTCCCACCCTCCCTCCAAGCTCCCTCTTCATATGCCTCTACAACGGTTCGTTTCCACTGAGGGTATTGCCTCGTTGGAAGACAACAATTTGAAGACCCTGACGTATGCCAAAACATTGCTCTCGAGATTTCAACGTCACGGATCAACCTGACTGTTGCGTCTTGACGACCCTGAATCGTGCCAGAACGCTCCTGGGACTTCAACACCGCGGCATGACGTAACTGCTGCACCCTCCTAATCCGGAATCAGTCCAAAACACGATTTCTGGTACGCTGACCATGGGAAACCGTGAAAACCATGCAAATGCTTCAAAGTTATATATATCTATACATATATATATATATATGTGTGTATACAAGCGTGCGCGGCGCCAAGGCGAGAACCACATTTCAAAAAAATGAACCGCACTCAATCCGTGCAACTCTTGCAACTTTTTACACCGACTGTATACGGCGCTGAGGCGAGAACCACATGTTGAAAACAGGCCACCTTCAATTCGCATAACCGTTGCAAAGCTTAAGAGCGAATGTGCGCAGCGCTATAGCGAGAGCCGCATGTTGAAAGCAGCCCGCCCTCCATGTGTGAAACTCTTGCCAATGAGTGAGCTTCAGGGTCATAGTTGGCGAGGGAAATCTCAGACGAAGAACCTGGCCCGCCCTAAAAACTGGCCTCGGGGTGCGAGGGGAAACGAATGGAGGAGGAGGAGGAGGAGAAGGAGGAGGAGGAGGAGGAGGAGGAGGGGGAGGAGGAGGAGGAGGAGGAGGAGGAGGGAGGAGGAGAGAGGAGAGGAGGAGGAGGAGGAGGAGGAGAGGAGGAGGAGGGAGAGGAGGAGGAGAGGGGGGGAGGGGAGGAGGAGGGAGGAGGAGGAGGAGGAGGAGGAGAGGAGAGAGGAGGGAGGAGAGGAGAGGAGGAGGAAGGATGAGGAGGGGAGGAGGAGGGGAGGGGAGGAGGAGGAGGAGGGAGGAGGGGGACGAGGAGGAGGACGCAGGACGCAGCATAGAAAATGGAGTCATGCAGGCACGATACCACCTCTGAGCTCCAATAATATGGAAGCACAACTAAAAGATAAGAGGTGCTGCATGCGAGGTCAGTCAACCATCGCACGCCAGAGAAACCCAACGAATTGAACTAAAGTTTAGCTCCCGTTGCCGGGTGCCGCCCGTCAGCGAGCCAGTCCCTGGCTCTACGGCGGGCGGGGTTCGGGGGGCGCGAGGGGCGAGGTTCGGGGTGCGACGGGGAGAAATTACATCTATAGATATATATATATATATATAGGGGAAACGAACGGAGGAGGAAGAGGAGGAGGAGGAGGAGGGGAGGAGGGGGAGGAGAGGAGGGGAGGAGGAGGAGGAGGAGGAGGAGGAGGAGGAGAGGAGGAGAGGACGAGGAGGAGGAGGAGGAGTAGGAGGAGGAAGAGGAGGAAGAGGAGGGAGACAGAGCTGGCCTGCTGGACAGCGCGGGGTTGGCTGGGCGGCCTCTGATTCGACAGCTGCCTCCTGGCTTCGGGGTTGGCCGATGGGCTGAAGTGGTGCCCGCGCCACCCAGCTCACCCCTTGGCCACGCGCAGAGGTGGGTGGGGGGAGGGGGGAGCGCTTCTCAGAAGCCCCCCTGCTTCTGAGAAGGCGCCGGCCTTACATCTATAGACAAGGCCCGCGCCTTCTAAGAAGCAGGGGCGCTACCAGGAAGCCCTCCCCCTTCCCGCCACCCCCTTCTGCGCGTGGCTGACTTCTGTGTCCTCGAGGACTGCATCACGCCCAATCCGACGTTCGACGACGGCGACCTGCTCACTGTCCTCGCCATCGTCGTCCTCGCTGTCCCCACAAGCCCGGGCATCCGACGTCGGTCGTTTTTCCCTACTGCGCCCAGGTCCGGTGCCTCGTCACGAGTCGCTTTTTTCCGACGGCCCTGGAGCCCGACGAGGGCCCCGAAGGGCCGAAGGCGGCCAAGAACCTCCTGTCGTGTTTTCTGTTCGCCACGCGCGAGTACGTCTGGGGCCCCTCCCGACGGCGGCCTTGTCGACGACGCCCCTCGCGGCGCACACGCGGCTGACCGTGCGCTGGGCGGCCGCCGCGCCCTCCTGGAGGCCCAGCTGCTGGTAGAGCTTCAGCGACTCGGCCGCGAGCGCGGCGGCCTGCCCCAGGGAGGGCACCCACTTCGAGGATCGAGAGGGAGGAGGAGGAGAGGGTGGATGGAGGAGGGGCAGGAGGGAAAAGGGAGGGGGAGGAGGAGAAGGAGGAGGAGAAGGAGGAGGGATGAGGAGGGAGGAGGGGGAAAGGAGAGAGGAGGGGGGCAAGCGAGGTGCGCTCGCGCCGTGTCTGGCATCCTGCCCCTCCCAGCCATTGCCTGAAGATTGCGCTGATTGCTCTCTCTGTCCAGCCGACGCGTGCCATAGCGGACCTGGAGTTCCAAGAAGGACCCCATCGCACCATTCGCAAAAGGGGAGCTGCGTACATTGGAGGAGGAGGTGGCGGATGAACAGGAATGAGGACCTCGAGGAATAGCAGCAGCAGGAGCTGGAGTGGAGAAGCGGGAGGAGCAGGATGGCCAGGGGAGGGCGGGGGATGAGAAAGGAGCGGGGCGACAACGAGAAAGCACTCGGATCCAGAAAGTGGCCCGCGCTGGGGCGAGAGCGCCATTCTGAAGGATGAGAGCAAAGAGCCGATCCCAAAACGAGTCCAACACTTCAGCGGGAGCACCAGTTGGAGACAGCGAATACGGTCTGATTGAGAACAAACAAGCAAATACCAAATGGTACAATCCTGTATGTTAAAACCATACGCGGACGGGGTCGTTCCGCTCCGCGGCCATCTTCAGAGGAAAAAGGAGAGCAATAGTCATATTCAGCATCTGCGATGGAGGAGGGGAAGGAGGAGGAAGAGGAGGAAAAGGAGGAACGCACCTGCAGATCGAATAAGATGGCACTCGCTGGAGCACCATGCTGCCGCTGGGGGTGAAACACGAGATGGGAAGAAGGGGCAGGAGGAGAAGGAGGAGAAGCAGGAGGAGGAAGAGGACATGGTAGGAGAAGAAGAAGAGGACGAAGACGAGGAAGCAGATGAAGAGGAGGAGCAGGAGGAGGAGGAAGAGGAAATGTTAGGAGAAGAAGAAGAAGAGGAAGCAGACGAGGAGGAGGAGGAGGAGGAGGAGGAGGGAGAGGCTCTGGGACACAGGACTACCGGCACGACGCGCGCGCCTTAGAGGCGCGCGTCAGAGGCGGCACGGCAGGGAGGCGCCCGCCACCGAGCGCACTCCCTATGTGTAAGACTCCTACGCGCGCACACGCCGCCCGTTTGGCGGGCCTGCGCGGCGCCCACAGCAGAGGCAAGTTTGGGTGATGCCGGGCTGCCTCCTCCTCCTCCTCCTCCTCCTCCTCCTCCTCCTCCTCCTCCTCTTCCTCCTCATCCTCATCCTCATCCTCATCATCATCATCATCATCATCATCATCATCAGCAGCATCATCAACATCATCATCAACTCATCCTCCTCCTCGTCCTCATCATCATCATCATCATCATCATCATCATCATCATCATCAGCATCACCATCATCATCACCATCATCATCACCATCATCATCACCATCATCAGCATCATCAGCATCATCAGCATCATCATCATCATCATCATCAACATCATCCTCCCATTCCTCCTCCTCCTCCTCCTCCTCCTTCTCTTCCTCCTCCATCTCGGCCAAAAAGAACGCGAGCGCCCAACACCTATTGGGAAAGCACGTCCAGCATGAGTCGCTCTGAAGCCCGCAGAGCAAAGCATAGCGGAATCCAGTCGCGCACAGGCACCAAGAGCGCAGGGTGCGAAATGCCCGCCTGAATTTTGTCCAACCAATTTTGCCATGCAATCTCCATCCCGGTTTCATACTGGTGCTGTGCGCGCCCGAGACATCCGGCGTCTTCAGCAAGTCAAGACGACAGGCTTCCCCGCCCCGCGTTCGGCCCCCGAGGAGCCCTCGCCGGGAGCCTGGCCACGAGCCCGGCTGCTCCCTCGGGAGCGCCGCGGGGGGTGTCCAGGAAGAGGGTCGGGTCGGGCGAAAGGGGGGGATAGCAAAGGGGGGGGGGGTGAGAATCAGCTCACGTAGCTGATTTTCCAGGCGCCTCCCGGCGCCGGGAGGCGACAATGTATCGAGGAATGGGCCCGGCGGTGGGGCCGAAACCAGCTGCATGCAGCAGATTTCGTACCCCCCCCTTTCCCTATCCCCCCCCCCTGTTGTCCGGCCCGAGAGGGGGCGTCAGCGAATCCGTGGCCCGAGACGTGGGGGGCCCAGGGAACGCCTTCAAAGAAGGAGAGAGGGCAATGGACTCCGGGACTCGCACGGGCCCGGCCAACAGAACCGCACACCCCTAATCCGAGGGGCAACGAGAATAGACGAGCGCGTTCCACTACTCGCAAAGTCACTACGCGCAAATGGCCTGGATCCGCCGCGGGGGGACTACGATAAATAGCATTAGAGCAGACATGTGGTTTTCGGACGATTGCGAGTCGGCACTTTGCGAGTTGTGGAACGAGCTCGGTGAGAGAAGGGGTGGAGCGGCTCAGGGGGGAAAGCATCGAGCTGGAACCGGCCATGCATCGCCGATCGATCGGCGATGGGCCCCCCATGGCAAATCCGCGCGGTCCTGGGCGGGCTTCGCTTTCGGGCCCTCATCGGCGATGAACGGGCGATTGCGATTGGGGGTCGATGCGTCCCCCCTTGAGCCTACCCCCTCCCCCTAGCGCTGCCCCTGAGAACGGAGACCCCGACGCTTCCCACAGGGACCCGTCCTCCATCTCGAGGCGCTTCTGCTCACGGCCACAGGGGGGCCCCGTGAGGGCCCCCCTGGAGCCCAGAGACGGCCACGCCATGCACCCTCCAGGCAGTCAGCCAGGTCAGTCAGGTCAGTCAGTCCGTCAGGCCGCACGCCGGAGCGCAGGGGCAGACAGAGACGGTGCTGGCCTCTCCTCTCCGCTCTTTGCTGGAGCAGCCGCAGGCCAACCGCTGCTGTAGCTCCACCGCGTGCGGCTGGGGGACTTTTTGTCCGTCGGCGGCGAGTCCGAATGGCTGCACCAGCGACAGAGCTGAACGGGGGCGCCGAGAAGCGAACTGCCGAGCCGAGCGCGCAGGGGAGGGGAAAAGGCGGACAGGGCGGCCGCGGAGGAGGAGGGAGGAGGGGGCACTCAGAGGCGGAAGGCTTCGGAAAGAGCGCACCAGTCGGGCCGGGCGAAAGGGGGGGATTGGGAAAGGGGGGGTTACGAAATTTGCTGCATGCAGCTGGTTTCGGCCCCGCCGAGGGGCCCACTCCTCCATACATGGGCGCCTTCGGCGCCGGGAGGCGCCGGGAAAATCAGCTACGTGAGCTGATTCTCAAACCCCCCCTTTACTATCCCCCCCTTTCGCCCGACCCGAACCAGGCGGGAATGGGCGGCATCCTGGCACTCGCAGGCGTCGGGGCGAGCAGGGCGGGCAGGGCGGGGCCCTCCCGCGCCGGTGGTCTCCTGCTCTCCCGGCGCGAGGGGGCCCGGCCGACGCGGGCAGCTCCCGCGCGAGCGAGCACCGCGCGGCCGAGAGGGAACGAGCCACCACCACCACCAGCACCACCTGGAGGAGGGAGGCGGAGGGGGGGGTAAAGACCTAATCGGTGAATGAATTGCGCGGAGATACTTGAATGCTCCACGCGCGTTCGCAGCCAGGAGTGAACACGTGAATGCGCGGTCTGCTCGGGGCCTTTGCAGGAGTGTTCCGTGCGAGGGTGCGGATCGACACATTTTTTCGAATGGGAGGCGGAGGGTGGCGTAATTACAACATTTCGGACGCCCTCGCGGAGCATCATGCACGCCCGCATCCCACAGAACGCAGCTCGTCCGGAACCCCCCCAGGTGGTGGTGGTGGTGGTGGTGGTGGTGGTGGTGGTGGTGGTGGTGGTGGTGGTGGTGGTGGTGGTGGTGGTGGTGGTGGTGGTGGTGGTGGCGGTGGTGGTGGCGGTGGTGGTGGTGGTGGTGCGCTTCCTGCTCCTCATTGGAGGCTTCTGTCGAGCCTTCTCAGAGGCCCCCTAGCCCATCCGAGAACGCATCCGCCTCCTCAGAAGCACCTCCCACCAGCACCCTGACCACCCTCTGCCTCCATCCTCCAGATGGTGGTGGTGGAAGTGCGCTTCCTGCTCCCCAGGAGGAGGAGGAGGAGGAGGAGGAAGAGGAGGAGGAAGAGGAGGGGGAGGGGGGAGGGAGGAGGAGGAGGAGGAGGAGGAGGGAGGAGAGGAGGAGGAGAGGAGGAGGAGGAGGAGGAGGAAGGAGAGGAGGAAAGGGGAGGACGTCTCTGGGACGTCTCTTGAGGTGGGGGGGGGCGCCCGTGGCGCCCCCCCACCTGAGGAAAAGGGGAGGAGGATGAGGAGGAGGAGGAAAAGGGGAGGAGCAGGAGGGGAAGACCTCTGAGGAGGCGCCCGAGCCCATCCGAGAGGGCACCCGCCCTCTCAGAGAAGCCCCGCCCCTCCCGCCCTCGTGGGAGACCGCCTCCCTCCGACCCGCCCCCCGGGTGCGCGCCGCCAATACGTGGGGCCCCACCGCCAGCAGTGCACACCGCCACGGACTGCCTGCCAAATCACCCAAACCCAACCCGAAGACCCAAATTCTGGGTTTGGGGTGGGGGGTACGGATTCCACATGTGGGAGATTCCGGAAACCCTGCTACCAAAAACGCATCTCTTGGAGGCGTTTTCTTGAGTCCGCCGCCTTCCGCCAGCCTTCTGCTGGCTTCCGCCGCTCGCCGGCGGAGGCCTCGTTTTACTTCCGCCGACCTTCCGCCGACTTTCCGCCGCCCTTCCGCCGCCCTTCCGCCGCCTTCCGCCGCGGAAGAGATGACAACTCTTTCTAATCTCGAAGGCATGGCCCTCTCTGGAACGCCCCATCTGTTTTTTCAATGTTCCGCGACGCCCTCCATGAACCACCACCTCCCTCATCCCCTCCCTCACCCCAGGAAGGGGGAGCATCACGGGAGCCCGACGGATGAATGGCAGCGGGAGACAGAGGAGGGAAAGGGGGAATGGCACTGGTGGTGGCGCATGGGTGGTTCTGGAAACCCTGAAGCCAAGAATGCTGCCATCCCTTTGGGGAAATGTTTACTTCCGCTAGCTTCCGCGGGCCGTCGGCCAACTTCCGCCAGCGGAGGCGGTCTTGTATCACTTCCGCCGCCTTCCGCCAGCCTTCCGCCAGCCTTCCGCTGCGTTCCGCCGAGGAAGAGATGCCGACTCCTTCGATCCGCGAAGGCGAGGCCGCTTCTGGAACGCCTCGTCTATTTCACCGATCCCTTTCCCCACTGGCGTGACCTGGGCCCCACTGGCCGATTTACCCCCCCTGGGTGGGGATAGGCTGTCGCCTTCAGGTTTCGAGGGGCATATCCCCAACTGGGGTGGTAGGATGGTGGGGATCGGGATGAAGATGGGGATGGTGGGGAGGCCGAAGAGCACCCATACATGCCGCTACTCCACGGACCTCCCCCAGGGTGCGGTCTGACCAGAATCTCCTGGCGAATCCGGCGGTGGCGACGAGGGCCTCCCAAGAGCCCCTCCCCCCCCCAAAAAAGCGAAAACGAGGCAAGGGTCACGGTAAGGGCACCTCCTCCTCCTCCTCCTCCTCGGAGGTTCGGGCTGGGCGAAAGGGGGTGATAGCAAAGGGGGAGGTTGAGAATCAGCTCACGTAGCTAACTTTCCAGGCGCCTCACGGCGCCGGGAGGCGCCCATGTATCTAGGAATGGGCACGGCGGTGGGGCCGAGACCAGCTGCATGCAGCAGATTTCGTACCCCCCCCCTTTCCCTATCCCCCCCTTTCGCTCGGCCCGAGGGGATCGGTCGAACGACACCGACCGCAGGCCCTCTCCCGTCCGGCCGCCCGGGCGGCCGGCGCCTCGTTGTGCCGGCCGACGTCCAGCTTCAGGGACGCCTTGACCCGCAGGGCCTCCGGGCCGGCTTCGAGGAGCGCCCGCGGCCGCCCTCGCGCGGCCACGCGCGCTCGGTTGGCACGACGCTGCCTTGGAAAGTCGCTCCTCCTCCCTATCCGCGCGGGCCGTACAGTCCTCCTTGTGTCCTGTGTCTCGCGACCCATGCTTCCCACATTCCTGTGGCAATGTGGCCCTCGGAAGGGTCTCGTGTCCTCTCGCGTGTCCTGTCCGACTGAGTCCGACTGTACGTGTGCCGAGTTCGCCTCTCTGGGCGAGCAACGACATATGTACATGTACGCCCTCAGCGGTGTTACCTGCACGAACGTCCGCGTTGACACGCACTCCAGGGGAAACTAACCGCTCCGCCCGCCGCGGGGCCCGGCGCGGAGAGAGCCCCCCTGCGGAGCCTCCTCGGGCCCCCCTCGGTGCAGCCCCCTGCCGTCCAGGGGCCCGTGCAGCGCCCGCGGCCGCCCTCTCGCGGCCACGCGCGAGCCCCAGGGCCTCGGGCTCCGCCCCCCAGGCCTCGCGCCCATGCACTTTTTCGATCTCATTTTATTGTTTCAGAAGGGTTGTCGACACGCATTTGGCGCGTCGTGGCCTCCTCGTTTGGAGTTGGCTGTGGTGGACGATCGACGGCTCTCGTGCTCTTTGCGGGAAGGCTTTGTGTCGAACTGTGTTGCGGGAACGCATTCCAGGCTTGTTCCGGGGCTTCCCAGGGCGTGTACCGAGGCTTCCCACATGGGGTCCGGGCAGATGGGGCCGGAGGGTCGTGTCGCATCGCCGACGCCTCGGCGCCGTCGGCGTGGAGACCATCGGGCTCCACATCGAGCCGCATCGCCCGTTCGGGGATCGACGTTTCCGACCGTTTGTGGGGGGTGCCCTCTCGGGCCTGCGGGAGGCGCGGGAGGCCTCTGGCCGCCTCGAGGAGGCCTCGCGGACCGAGGCAGCATCGCTCCGCCGTGCCTAGTCGACGACGACAACGGCGACGGCGACGACAACGACGTCGACGACCACGCCCACGCCCACGCCCACGCCCACGCCCACGCCCACGCCCACGCCCACGACGACGGCGACGGCGACGACGACGACGGCGGCGACGGCGACGACGGGCGGAGACCGCCTTCGACGCTTCTCGGGTCGTCCAGCTCTCGAGGCGCGCAAAGCAACGACGCCGTCAGCGCCTCTTCGAGGATGCCTGCCGGGCACTTCCCAGAGTCTCTCGCCGTCACGGCCCTCCGGGGCTCGAGCGGCTGGGCGGGATGGACCCCCGGGAGGGGCCCTTCATCACCTCTTCCCCCCCCTCCTCCTCCTCCTCCTCCGCCTCCTCCTCCTCCTCCTCCTGCTCCTCCTCCTCCTGCTCCTCCTCCACCTCCTCCTCCTCCTCCTCCTCCTCCCCCTCCTCCCCCTCCTCCCCCTCCTCATCCTCCGCCTCCTCCTCCTCCGCCGCCTCCACCTCCGCCTCCGCCTCCTCCTCCTCCTCCGCCTCCTTCTCCGCCTCACCCTCCTCCTCCTCCTGCTCCTGCTCCTGCTCCGGCCGCCGCCGCGCCTTCGCCTCCCCGGGAAGGTCGCCGAGCTCCCTCTGCAGGCTCAGCCACTCCTCCGCCGTCTCGAGGGCCGCCTTCGGGGGAGGGAGTGAGCGGATACCCCTCGGAGGGGCCGCACGAGCAACTAGCCCAGGGTGGAGCAATACTTTCAATTGTCCCAGGGCGCCGATGGTCCATGCCTTCGGCGAGGCTTCCCGAGGCATACGTGCGATACCCGCCCTATGGGCTATTCGCCCTCATCGTCGCCCCCGATCCACCGCGGGCCCCCGAGCGGGAGGCAGTCCCACGCCGGCGGTTCAAAGATCGAGGAGCAGTCATCGAGGTGATGGACGGGAGAATCGAGGAACGAGGACGGACGGAGGGAGACGAGCCAGGATCGAGGATCGAGGGCGGGATTGACCGAGGATCGAGGGAGGAAGGAGGATCGAGAATCGAGGATTGAGGTGTATCGAGCGAGGATCGGGGGTGGAGGAGGAACGAGGATAGAGGATCAAATATAGTGGTTGTCTGTCGCTTGGGGTCCCGTTCTGGGACTCCTGGTGGCCTCTGGGAGGGCCGGTCTCGCTCCCTCTCCTCGGTCCTCCTTCAATTCCAACCCCGATTCCACTCAGACGCCTCCGCATCTCTACCCTCCTGCTCCTCCACCAGCTCGTCCTCCACCAACTCACTGTCGTCCCACCGCCCCGACTCTCATCGCAAGCAGGAGGAGTAGGGGAAGGGGAAGTGGGTATTGTTTAACCGATCCCCATCCCCAGCGGCGTGGCCTGGGCCCCACTGGCCGATTTACCCCTCTAGATGGGGATATAGGCCGTTCCCTTCGGGTCTCGAGGGGTGTATCCCCAACTGGGGGGGTAATTTGGTGGGGGTCTCGAAGGCGATGGGGATGGGGATGGGGATCGGTTAAACGATACCGAGGAAGGGGAGGAGGTGGAGACTGGGACGAGTACGACGACGAATGCGGCGACAACGACGTCTCGAGGGCCGCCTGAGGGTCGCCACGAGCGGACTGAACGCTCTGCAGCATGTCCATCGCTCTGGAGGTGGCCGCCTTGTCTCCTGGTTTGCGGGGAAGTCAGAAAGAGAGGGGGGCAGAGGGAAAGAGAGAGGGAGGGAGGGGCGAGAAGGATGGAGGCGGTGGGAGAGGGAGTGGGAGCGAGGGAGGAGGAGGAGGAGGAGGAGGAGGAGCAGGAGGAGAAGGAGCAGGAGGATGAGGAGGCGGAGGTGGAAGAGGAGGGGGAAGGAGGACGAGGAGTAGGAAGAGGTGGGAGGTGGAGGCGGAGGACGAGGGAGGAGGCGAGAGAAACGGGGGAGGAGGAATGGAAGGAGGAAGGACGAGGGAGGAGGGAGGAGCAGTGGAGGTGGGAGGGGCGAGGGGAGGACGGAGAGGAGAGGGAGGACAAGGGCAGGAGGGCTCTGCCTGTCTTCTTGAGCATGGCCAGCTCGTCGCTGGCCGCCATCAGGGGCCCGAACTGGTCGTTCAGCGCGAGGCCGCACTGGACCACGACCTCCAACGCAGAGAGCCTGCCCTCCGCGTCGGAGGCCCTCCTGAACTCCACAAGAGCCTCTGGGGCAAAGGGGGGCTTGTTATTCGTCCTCCTCCTCCTTCTCCTCGTCATCATCATCCTTCTCCTCCCCCGCCAGCAACAGCCACGAGGGACTGCGAAGTGCAACCACGAACAGACTGCAGGGGAGGGAAAAGCGGTGCGAAAGAACTTGCTCCACCGTCGGGGGCGCCTGCCCCAGGGCGGCTGGAAAGTTCATACCCCAGCGAGGCACCGTAGGGGTGTAAATGTTGCAGCCGCCCGGTGGGCAGGTGTCCCCGACGGCGGGAAGCTGTACTCCATACCCTTTTTCGCCCGCAGAATATCGTTGCGCGCATAGGTGCAGCGGCAGGCCGGGAGTGGCGCGAGGTCCGGGCTGCGAGAGGCGAGCCAGCGCGACAAGCCTTGGCCCGTGCAGACACGCAGCGGTGTGCTGCGAGCGTGGTCGAGGGGCGAGGTTCGAGGGTCTGGGGGTGGGGTGGGGGGGGCGCGCTTGTCGCAAAAGCTTGGGGCCTCTGGGGGAGCAACCCCCGTCGCCACAGCTGAGCTGCCATCGAGCGTATAGTTCCCTGGAACGGTCCAGGGGTCGGGGAGGCGGAGGAGGAGGAGGAGGAGGAGGAGGAGGAGGAGGACGATACGGGAGAGAGAAAAAGAGAGGGGGGGTCTTGGGCAAGCTATGCGCGCTCGCACCACATCTGACATCATGCCACACACACACACACACATCCCTACCCCTTGCGCCGGGTCCCCGTCCCCGCCGCGTGGGGTGTCCTAGAGCACCTTGATCCCCAGAAGCTGCCTCACCATGCGATGCGCAAACTGGAGGGGGGAGGGAAGGCTTTGTACACTGGAAGCGGAGGAGGTTCCGGATGAGCAGGATGACGAGCAAGAAGAATGAGGAAAACAACGGGGAAGGAGGAGGAGAAGCAGGAGGAGGACGAGGACGAGGAGAGGATAAGCAGCGTCAGGAGCAGGAAGAGAAGGAGGCGATGGAAGAGAAGGGGGAAAACGAGAAGCGGGAGCAGCGGGGGGCGGAGCAAAGGAAAGAGGGGCGGCCGCGATGATGCAGGAACCGGATCGAGAAATACGGTCCGCGTGTGGGCGAGAGCGGCATTCGCATTCTGAATGATGGGGGCAAACCACCGATCAAGAATTGTGGCCAGGGCTGCAGCGGGAGCACCGTCCTGGTGGAACAATCCGGCTCCAACCGGGAAAAACATCGAACACAAACAAAATCCTGCGCGTGAGTGAAGAGTCCTCAGCGAGAGAAGCGGGGCATCACTGCACGCGTATCGGCGGAGAGGTGGGACTGGGGTCGCATTCGCTGGAGGTGGAGGATGAGACTGTGATGATGATGATGAGGAGGAGGAGGAGGAGGAGGAGGATAAGGATGATGGTGACGATGATGATGATGACGATGATGAGGTCAGAGATCCTCCCGTTGTGTGCAAGCTCGATCTTCGTTCTGTATGAGCGGCGCCTCAAACGCGCCGCAGCGACCCCTGATAACGAAATATTGAATTAAAGCACAAGGTGGCACGAGGGCGGGCGCGCTTGAAATACTGCGGAGCAAGAACGGCCATGGAACGGATCAGACCAGCACGACACAAACATTTGGGTAGGTCAGAAATCGCCCCCGACGATGGCCAGGCATCTTACAGCGGAGTTGTGCGAACGCTTCTGTTGTGTGCAAGCTCGAGCTTCGCGCTATATGAGAGGCGCCTCGACCGCGCCACAACGACCCTACACTGCCCTACCTGGCACCTGGCCGCTTCATGCCAAAAAAAGTTTGCAGTGAAAACTTGCGGAGACCCTGGAGGTCCCCATAGAGATCCACGAGCAGAGCCACTTAGCCAAGGGTGGAGACACACGCGCGCAAGGAGTTTTGCCCGGCGGGCCGAAAGCGGCGCGCCCACAAGGGCCGCCGTCGTCCGCGGGGAAGCCCCAAGAAAAACCGAGGGCCCACAGAGTACCTCGGTTCGCTCGACATCCGAACCTATAGGGAAGATCGCCCGTCAGCGCTGTTGTATGTGAAAACGGCTAGACACGGGCAGCAGAGACTCAGGGCGTCAGCCACTAAGGATCCATTCATCCCAGCACCGTGCCCGAAAGTCGAGGAATAGTCGCCTCGGGCAACAATATCGCCTCGCCCGAACCCGACCTCGAGCAGCGCCTGGCCATGCGCCGCGCGGGCGAGGCCGCGCAAGGCAGCTTCGACTGCGGCGGCCTCCCTTCCAGGAGGCTCGGCAGCGGCGGCCGCCTCTGCTCCCCGAGGATCGGCGCGATGTCGGTCTCCACCAGCTCGGCCCAGACCACGACGCGCTGGCCGACCTTGTCGCGCTCTGCGAGGTATGGCCACGGGCGCGCACCAGCGAGTCGCGCAGCGCGGAACTGCCGCAGGAAGCTGCCGCCGCCGCCGCCACGCCAAGCCGCGCCCTGCAGTTGCACGCCCTCGTCCTGCGCGAGCGTCTTGCTGCGCGTCGAACTCTCAATCGGGTGCAGCAACAATGCCCCGAGTGGCGCAGCGCCGTGGCCGGGCCCCACCAGCGCCTCGGTCGCAGCGTTGACGAGGTCGCTCAGCAAGTGGATCATGCCGTCCCAGGCTGGCGCCGGAGCCCCCGCCCACTCGAAGTCGTCCTCCAGCACGGCGGCCCCGATTATCCCCCACACGATCGGCTCGCCGGCGGGCATCATCGGCGTGCTCCTGGAGTGGCGAGCCTGATAGCGCGGGCAGCGCCGAGGTCAGGCCCCCGCGCGTCGGCCTCGGCACGCGCGACAGCCTGCACTGCGCGCGCGCCGGCAGCCGCGGCCCAGTCACCTCCAGCTCGACGCCCCAGAATAGCCCGTCCGAGTAGGCCGCCAGGAAGGCGTCCACGCGGTCCGCCGCGATGGCCTCCAGCGACAGCGCCACGGCCCACTCGAGGAAACTGGAAGCTGTTGATCGCGGCGGCGCGCACCCTGCGCCTCAGCAAGAAGGTCAGCCCAGACCGAGGGTCGCGGGGGGTGCCGCCGAACGTCGCGGCTCTCAGCTTCGCCCGATTGGCCTTCTGGAGCGCCAGCTCCACGCGGCCTGCTGCCTTCGCTCGAGCTGGGGGAAGAACTCCAACGCTCGCAGTCGGCAGGGGTCGGGTGGTCCTGACTGCCTTCGGAGCCGCCCGAGCTCGCCGAGGTCGTCATATCGGCAGTGGCCTCGGCGTCGGGCTCGCAGTGGTCGCGCCGCCGCCGCCGCGAGAAGTTGACGGGATGGTCAGTCGTCGCGCGCCGCCTTCTCGGCAGCGGCCGCCCGCGCGAGGCTGGCCCAAGCCGCGCCAACATTGCGAGGGTCGGCTGCGAATGGAGCTGGCGTCCCTGCCGCGGTGCGGGAGCCTCTGTCGGATGTGTTCCACCCCGATGGTAGCCGTCGCACCGCTACGGATATGTCATTCACGGTACTGTAGCTGCAAGACTCTCGGCACGTCTGATTGATCAGTGGCGAAGACGATCGACCCTTTTCAACTCCGAACACCAAGGACAGATTGCCGTTCAACATGAGGTGCAAGTGCCCTCTCGGTCGCAGGGCTCGCATCTCGCGGCGGATCCCCAACGACAGCGCACGCCCTTCCAGCCGCAGGATGGATGTTCTCCTCGCGGCTCCAGCGGCCGAAGGTCACGTCCCTCCGGGACTCCATCGGGAAGACGAGCTCGGAGCTGCCGGTGGCAAACGACGCCTGCCCCTCGGCGGGGGGCGTCGCGGCTGGCGAAGGCGGAGCCCCGAGCGTTGATAGCCCCCTCGACCTGGCACCTGCAGCGCCCCCGCACCCGAGCGGCCTCGATCACGGCGGTGGGCTCGACCTCGCGCTTGGTGACCCCGTGGCCGCCGAACGCGCTGCCCTTTGGGTCGAGGCCCCCCGTGCTGGCGTCGGTGGAATAGACCATCGCGTCGACGGGCCTCTTGGCGTCGTAGTAGGCAAAGGGTGCCAGCGCAGCCACCGCTCGGAGCTCCCGAATGACAACTGCACACAATCTCCAACGGTTGTCCCCCGCCTTGATGATGAAACGATACGTGCTCTGGAAGATGCATCGAAGTGGCCGACGCAACAGAGCGGCCCAGTTGAACTGGCCGACGAGGCTGGAGAAACCGGAGCCCGACAAGCACGGCTGCGACGCCTGGCAGGGCGGCGCCAGGCGGATCTTCCACATCCGCGAGCGCCCCGATGATGTACGCCCCAGGTCGCGGTCGAAGATCAAGCCAGTGAACTTCTGCTCCTGGCTCGGTAGCTCCATATCCTTGCACTTCAAGCCTCTGTCGTTGAAGGCCCCGTAGATGCCGCGCAACTGATCGGCGACTTCGCCGCGCTGGGCGCCGCTCACCTCCGTCGACGCAAGCAGCTGCCACAGGGCCATTCGCCAGGTCGGGGATCACCTTCCTGTCGCGAACGAGCTTGGCGTCGCCGAGCCCAACGGACCTCAACGCGCCCTCGACGGCGCGCTGGCAGAAGAACGAGATCCAATTCCATCCCATCGGTAAGACTTTGAAACACGGTGAACAGTTGCGATATGCTATACCCTCAAGAGCACCATCAGGAAGAAACACTAGCAAGGGCGACTCGATCTAGACTGGGAGAGCCATTGGCTCACTGAGCCCAGCAGGCGCGAGGAACCGATGGAATGCGGCCTCGATGTCACACTGTCCGAGGTACAGGCTGCTGGCGGCCTCCAAGTCGGAGACTCTGCCAGATTCCTGCAGTCGGTAGCTCGGCGACGCCGGGGTCGTAGAACATGCGGTTCACCCTGCGCGTGTACAGGGCCATCCGCCGCATGCCGCCCCCGTCGCGCTTGGCCACGAAGAACGGCGCGAGGGCGTGCTTCCGCTCCGAGGCGAAGTAGACCGCGCCCTCCTCGAACAAATCATGCCCCCCAAAGAAAAAAAGAGGGAAAACACCCTTCAGCTCGGAGTCGAACCCTTCAGCTCGGAGTCGAAGCGGGGCGGCACATTGGCAAGCCACTGATGTCGAGGGCGCAAGAGATGCGCGTCCCAGTCCTGCCACAGGACGCGCACGGGCTCCGACAACAAATAGGCGGGGTCGCACTGTCTTGAATCCGAAGACACCGCGACGCACCCTTCGGTGAACAGAACGGATATCGCTGGGCTGATGTCATACCCAGGAGAACACCCACGCGGCTCCATGCAGGCCGCCGCGGGGCTGATGTCAGGCGCGCCGAACGCCGCGATGCGATCGCGCAGCGGGTCGATACCAGCGAGCTGCGCCGCCGAAAGCTTCCCGAAGCCATCGCCGACCACCCGCCCATTCAGGAAGTTGAGAGCAGCGGCGACCTCACAGGTCCACAGGTCGACAGCGAGCTCCCGGCGGCCCCGACTCCGCCTCTCACGGGAATTAGAAAAACATGCAGGATGATCGCGCCCCTCGAACTGCGCGGCGACGAGGTCAAGGGGGATCGGCAACACGCCCCGCTGGACCACCACGAATGAGAAGATGAGCGGGGGGGGGCTATCCCCCGTCACTGCCAGCAGCACCACCGCGGCGGCGACCCATCGCGTCGTCCTGCGGGGCATCAGCCAGCTGCTTCGTCAACTCGTCACACTCCACCTTCGGACGATCCACCGCGCTCTGCATGCCGGCGAGGCGGCTCTGGCGATCACCTCCTCCACTGCTCGAGCTCGGGTCCCCGCGAGAAGCCAGACGTTCCGCCCTCATCGTGCGCCCCTCCTTCAACATCATGTTATCCTCGTGGCCCTCGTCGGTCACGAAGGTGAGGAGCGATGGCATGAGGCAGACGAGCTCACGCGTCTCGCCCGTGCCAGGGTGCTAACGAGCTTCCTCGAGCATCTCATCGCCAGGGCAGGTCGAGAGGATCCCATCACGGTGCCGATATTCCGCCAGCTGGGCGCGACGGCGCACCAGCTCCGCACATGAAGGCTCGTTGGCGTTCGACTCAGCGAGCGTCTGCAAGAGGCGCACAGACCGACAGCGTAGCTCGTCGCTGCTCGAAAAGCCAGCCTCCGCCTTGACCTACGCGTGTCGAGATCGGAACGTGACGCCACTCTCTCGGACGAGCTCGCAGACCCACTTCACCATCTGAGCGCCGCTGACGCGGAAGAAGTCCCAAGGGCTCTCGGTGAGCTCGGCGACAGTCTCCCTCATGCCCAACGACCGCTGGTTTGGGGAGTTCCGCAGCGCCCGCACCCGCGCGTCGAGCTCGTCGCCTTTGTCTCGCGGCAGAGCTCGACAGAAGAGGCTCCGCCCAGCAAGTCGACCGATCCCGATCCCTGCAATGATCACGAACGCCTCGAGCTCCACGTCACCAAGAGAGCCCTTGTCGCCACCGTCGCCCGAGGCGAGGCAGCGCCACTCCGAGAGACTCGCATCTGGCGGCCTGCGTCGGCCCACAGCCCACTCACTCGGAATCTTCAGCAAGTCCGAGCCTGAACCGATACACGGGGGAGCTGGGCCCAGAGTTGGCACTCCCTCCTCGGGCACCGCTGCTGGCGGCGGGGCTGTGAGGCCACGGGCGACCACTTCCTCGATCGAACGCCCCACACCGAACAGCATCTGGAGGCAGAACTCGTCGAGGGTCATGCTCCAGTCATGCCCGTGCACACCGAGCCCCGCTAGAGCGGCCCCCTCGCGGATCCGTATCTGCCGACGATCGGTCACGTCGCATGGCACCACGATCTGAAGAGCCTGGCCCGTCAGCTCACGAGGGTGCACGTCGCCGTCTGGTGTCACCATATGCCGCGGGCGCTCGTCCGTCTCGGCGTTCTCGCTCGGATCCTGACCCGTCTCCGTCGTGTACTCCTCGGCTGTGCACGGGGTCAGTGCCTCCGAGCGTGCCCTCCAGCTTCGCCCAACCTCGCTCCGAGAGGGCCCGTGGCCGAGCCGCGCGGCAGCGGAGGCGACAGGCGCCCGAGGCATGAAGCGGCCGCGTGGTTGTCCCGTGGCTGTCCCGTCGTTGATGATGGTGATGATCATGCTGATGGTGATGGCGGTAATGATTATGGTGGTGACGATGTTGGGGTGGTGATGACAAGCATCATCGAAACCACGCTTATGACCATCATCATCATCGTCGTCATCACCACCATCATCATAATCACCATCGCCATTACCATCGGCATTACCACCACCATCATCATCATCGCCATAGCAGTCGCAACATCATCAACCTGATAAGCATCATGGTCATCATCATGACCACCATCATCACCACCACAACCATCGCCATCACACGCGTCGTCATCCTCATCATCATCATCATCATCAGCAGCACCAACCGCATCATCAGCAGCATGATCGGGATCACGATCCGGATCATGATCATAATCAACACCGTGTTCGTCATCATCAGCATCATCACCATCATCATCATCAGCAGCATCATCATCGTCATCATAATTGACGTCTTCAGCAGCATCATCGTAATGATCATCGTCATCAGCATACTCATCACCATCAACGTAAACACCATCATAATCACAACCATCATCATCACCATCACCAGAATCATCAGCATCACAATAATCTGCATCACCACCCTGATCATCGTCATCATCACCATCCTCATCATTAGCATCATCAGCCGAAACCTCATCCAACTCAGCCTGCTAATCATCATCATGATCATCAGCCCAATCCTCTCCTGATCCGCATCATCATCCTCATCATGAGTAGCAGCATCAGCAGCATCATCAGAACCATCATCATGTGCGTCAGCATCTGAATAATCATCATCAGCATTATCAACTGCATCAGCCGCATCAGCAACATCATTATCATCATCACATTGATCAGTAGCCTCATCCGCATCATCTTCATCCTCATCATCGATCAGCATCATCATCAGCAACATGATCAGAATCATGATCAAGTTCATGATCATGGTCAACATCACCATCAGCAGCATCATCATGATCGTCGTCATCGTCAGGATCATCAACGTCAACATGAACACCATCATCATCACCATCATCATCACCATCACCAGAATCATCAGCATCACAGTGATCTGTATCATCAGACTGATCATCGTCATTATCATCCTCATCATGAGCATCATTAGCATCAACCTCATCCTCATCCAAATCAGCAAGCCAATCATCATCATGATTCTCCCCATCATCCTCATCACCATCACTATCATCATCATGATCGGTAGTGTCATCAGAATCAGCATCACCAGCATCATCATGCGTGTCAGCATCTGAATAAACAGCATCCTCATCATCAGCAGCATCACCAGCATCAGCAGAATCAGCAAAAGCATTGTCATCATCAACAACATCATCACATTAATCCGTATCAGCATCCGCATCATCGTCCTCATCGTCAGATATCATCACCATCAGCATCATCATCAGCAGCAGCATCAGAATCATCATCAGCATCAGTATCATCCTCAGGTTCATCCTCCTCATCACCATCATCATCATCAGCAGCATCATTAGCATCATCAGCATCATCGTCATCAGCATCATCGCCATCATCGTCATCGTCAGCATCATAATCATCATCATGATCATTCTCAGCATCAGCATCAGCATCATCATCAGCCGGTTCATCATCATCAGCAGCATCAACAGCCGCATCTTAAGCATGATCAAAAGTGCAATAATCAAAACATCATCATCATCATCATCATCATCATCAGCAGCAGCAGCAGCACCAGCATCACCAAAATCATCATCATCGTCATCATCACACTAGTGATCGGTATCCTCATCCTCATCATCATCCTCATCACCATCATCGTCATCATCATCAGCATCCCCATCATCATCCGCATCATCATCTTCCTCATCCACAACAACATCCTCATCCTTACCATCATGTTCATCATCAGCAGCATCATTGCTACTAAAAATCATGATCATCCTCAGCATCATCGTCATTATCATCATCGTAATCATCATCAATATCGCCATCATCAGCACCATCCGCAGCAGCAGCATCAGCATCAGCACTAGTGTCATCATCATCATCATCATCATCATCCTCATCATCATCATCATCATCATCATCATCATCATCATCATCAGCATCATCATCGTCATCGTCATCGTCACCATCCACGTCGACGCCGATCATCACAGTCAGACGTGCCTCCTGCGCCGCGACCAGCGCCTCCCCCATCCTCGACTCGAACAGAGACCTCGCGTCCGCGTCGCCAGCGCCAGCAGCAGCCTGCTCCTCGAGGAGCCGCTCCGCCTCCTCGAGCATGGCCTTCGCCGCCGCCGTCGCCGCCGCCGTCGTGGGCCGGTGTCGGCAGGTCGTACAAGCCGCGTCGGGCCCCGCGACCCTGCCCCATGTGGAGCCAGCCCCAAGAGGTCCATCACACCTTCCTGCACAGACACCACAGAATGTTTCAAAACATTGTGAAGAAATATCAAGTGGAAGCCGTTGCTGTTGTTGTAAACCGGGGGCCAACGACACAGTTTGACCCTCCAGATTTCCCCTGATAAAAAAAAACGGTGCGAGCCCTAGGAGGGGCACTTCAATAGAACAAATACAATGTGCACCCAGCGGGGAGTTGAACAACAATTATTATCCAGAAGTGAGAGTTAAACGACAACAACACCACTAGCAACGCAACAACAATCAGTTGACCCTCATGCGCGATGTTTCCACACGAAGCATACGACCATCATGATGACCATCCATGTCATGGGGGACTCTTGTTCTATAGAGGGGTCCGATAATCGCATGCCCATAAATCCCGCCCAATGAGGTTATTGCAAACACCTCCTCCGAGGAAGTTCAACATGTCCCGCCTCGAAAGCACATGCCCGCGCATTGCTGCGCCGATGCGAGACCGCCAGTAGAACCCCAGCGAAGGGTAAAGCACAAACAACTATCGAACGACAGGATTGCCTTGGTGGGGATGGGGGGGCTGTCGGCGGTGAGGCAAGGACCTGGCCCTGAGTAGGAAGGGAGGAAGTCTCGAGCAGGGCTGCTGTTGTTGCTGGGAGCGGCGCCAGTGCTGAAGAGAATAGGGCGCCAGTCCAGCGTAAAACAAAACGAAGTCTCGAGTGGGAACGCTGGTTTTGTCGGGGCGGCGGCTTTCGGCGGCGAGGAGGAACACCGCCTTCAATAAGAAAGGAGGAAACATCGAGCGGGAGCCGTGGTTTTGTCGGGACGGGGGCTGTCGGCGGCGAGGAACAGCACCGTCTTCAGGAAAAAGGGAGGAAGACTCGAGCAGGAGCGTTGTCCTGCTGGGAGCGGCGCCAATTCAAAAGAGAATTAGGCGCCAGTCCAGCGTAAAACGGAAGGGAGTCTCGGGCGGGAGCGCTGGTTTTGTCGGGGCGGCGGCTTTCGGCGGCGAGGAGGAGCACCGCCTTGAAGAAGAAAACCTCGAGCGGGAGCGTTGTTTTTGCTGGGGGCGGCGCGGATGAGAGCAAGACTAGCGCGCCAGTCCAAGGAGAATCGGAAGGAAGTCTCGAGCGAGAGCGCTGGTTGTGTTAGGACGGCGGCCTTCGGCGGCGAGCAAAAACACCAACCCGGAGTAAAAAAGGAGGAAGTCTCGAGCGGGAGCGCTGTTGTTGTTGAACATTATTAGTTCTAAAGAATAATTATTGTTGGGGCCCCTGGTGCGCGGCCCCCTCGCCGCGCCTAGGCCGCAGCCATGTTTTCATCACTTTCGTGAGGAAGTCTCCGGCAAAACGGGTTGGTCCGGATCCGGTTGTTTTGTTACGGGCGGTTTTCCCTTGCAAAGGATAAGGCAAAGTGGACATTTCTTGTTCTAACATAACCAAACTTCAAGAATCCCTTGCAAAAAAATAAAGTAAAGTGGACATTCGCGCGCGCAAGACGAAATCCTTCCAAAACCTTAGTGTCCGTAGCGATTCTAACATAAAAACAGCAAAAAAAACAATGGTTTTTCAAAAAAAAAAAAAAAAAAAAAAAAAAAAAAAAAAATGCCAAAATTTCATCCCGCGCGCTCTTGCGGATTCGTAGGAAACCCAACACTTTTTAAACATTTCTGTCAAACGGGCTTTTGCGAGCAACTTTTTCGAACTTCTGCAACAACGGTTGCGCACCTGCCAGGGCCATCATCCCTGTCAAATAATACCATGCGGGACACATTCGTTTTTTCTTCGCGCGCGCACGCCGTCGTCGTCGGCCGCGGGGCCCTGAATAGTAGCCACGGTCGTCCGCATGCCACGAAGTGAAGTGTCCGAACGTCATAGGGCGGGAAGCTGGGTGTGGGTGGTGGCGAAGAGTCGTTTGGAAATTTGGTAGAGCTTGAACCGGCCCCCCCACAAAGTGGGGGTATTGCCCGCCTCCTATGAAAACCCTGGCGCTGGTGAGAACAGAGTGTCCCCACGTGCTAGTAATTGTTGTTGTTGTTGTTGTTAATGTTGTTGTTGTTGTGATTGAGGGGCCGGTTTGGGCGGTCCCCCACATCGCTCGAGCGTGAGCCTCATTGTCAATGAAAATGTAGCCGGCGCCTCGGCGAGAGCGCCGGGGCGCCTTAAGGGGTCCAACAATAATAATTTTTTAGTACTTGACGTTCAACCATCATTTTAAGACTGTTCGCTCCTATATATATATATATATATAAAAAGAGAGAGAGAGAGAGAGAGAGAGAGAGAAAGAGAGAGAGAGAGAGATGCTCACGTGCCAATCAATACGTATATCCCAAAGCCTCGGTACCCGCCCTCGTCGTCTTCGACCGTATCCCCTTGGGGTCAGATCTTCCTTACCTGCCACGTGAATTTAGGGCAGCCCCTAAAACAAGGGAACAAAGGACGGTTGGAAGGGGGAGGGAGAAGAATGGAGAACGAGAGAAATTAGCAGAAGGGGGGCAAGGAGCAGAAAACAAGTGGTAGAACCAGACGGGCAGATCGGGTGGGCAGACCCGTAGCGGGCAGGTCGGGAAGGCGGGCCCAGGCGACGAGGTCGAGCAGGCGGGTTGCTCAAGCGTGGGTCCTGCATGAATCGCGAGGACGTCTCGAGCGATAGCGCGATTCCCAACTAAATCGTGAGAAAAGCCAGCGTAGGCCACGAAGGGCATGAACTCCGAGGCCACAGAGGGCAGCGACGGGGCCGCTGAGGGCAGCACCGGGGCCACGAAAGGCAGCGAGGGGGCCACAAAGGGCGACAGCGGGGCCACGAAGGCCACGCATATGGGGCCACGACGGGCGCGAGCGAGCGGGGGCCACGAAGGGCATTCGTATACGGGGACGGAAAGGGCGACACCGGCGACAGCGGGGCTACGAAAGGCATGCGTATGGGGCCACGACTGGCACGTGCGAGCGGGGGCCACGAAGGGCATATAATGCGGGGCCACAAATAGCAGCGACGGGGCCACTGAGGGCAGCAACGGGGCCACGAAGGGCAGCGAGCGAAGGCGACCGCGGAACCACTACGGGCAGCGAGGGGCATCGAAGGCGGGCGAAAGGCAGCGAGCGGCGACTGCAGTCATTAACGGGCTGGTCAGGCGGCTAGGCCCCGACGGGCGGGTCGAGCGGGCGGGACGTTGAAGGGTGACTCCTGCTTGAACCGCCATGCAATATGCAGCGGGAGCGCGATTCCTGAGTGTCGAGGACCGGCATCTGAATAAACTGTGAGGAAATATCAAGCGAAGCGGTTCGGTGGTGAATTGCGAGGAAGTCCCAAGCGAGAACGCGATTCTGCAATAAATTGTCAGGAGGTATAAGGCGGGAGCCGCGATTCGGTGGTAAATTGCCAGGAAGTCCAAAGCGAGAGCGCGATGTTTCAATGCATTGTGAAGAAATATCAAGCGGAAGCCGTTGCTGTTGTTGTAAACCGGGGGCCAACGACACAGTTTGACCCTCCAGATTTTCCCTGATAAAAAAGACGGTGCGAGCCCTAGGAGGGGCACTTCAATAGAACAAATACAATGTGCACCCAGCGGGGGGATGAACAACAATTATTATCCAGAAGTGAGAGTTCAACGACAACAACAACACCACTAGCAACGCAACAACAATCAGTTGACCCTCATGCGCGATGTTTCCACACGAAGCATGCGACCATCATGATGACCATCCACACCATGGGGGACTCTTGTTCTATAGAGGGGTCCGTTATTCCCATTCCCAGATATCCCGCCCAATGAGGTTTTGCAAACACCTCCTCCGAGGAAAGTCAACATGTCCCGCCTCGAAAACACATGCCCGCGCCTTGCTGCGCCGATGCGAGGCCGCCTGGAACCCCAGTGAAGGGTAAAGCACAAGGAAGTATCGAACGACAGGATTGCCTTGGTGGGGATGGGGGGGCTGTCGGCGGTGAGGCAAGGACCTGGCCCTGAGTAGGAAGGGAGGAAGTCTCGAGCAGGGTTGCTGTTGTTGCTGGGAGCGGCGCCAATGCTGAAGAGAGTAGGGCGCCAGTCCAGCGTAAAACAAAACGAGGTCTCAAGTGGGAACGCTGGCTCTGTTGGGACGGCGGCTTTCGGAGGCGAGGAGGAACACCGCCTTGAATAAGAAAGGAGGGAGCATCGAGCGGGAGCCGTGGTGTTATAGGAACGGCGACTGCCGGCGGCGAGGAACATCTCGAGCTGAAGCGTTGTTTTTGCTGGGAGCAGCGCCAATTCAAAAGAGAATTGGGCGCCAGTACAGCGTACAACGGAAGGAATTCTCGGGCGGGAGCGCTGGTTTTGTCGGGGCGGCGGTTGTCGGCGGCGAGGAGGAACACCGCCTTGTGTAAAAAGGGGGAAACGAGCGGGAGCCATGGTTTTGTCGGGGCGGGGGTTGTCGGCGGCGAGGAACAGCACCGCCTTCAGGAAAAAGGGAGGAAACCTCGAGTTGGAACGTTAGTTTTTCTGGGAGCGGCGCCAATTCAAAAGAGAATTGGGCGCCAGTCCAGCGTAAAACGGAAGGAAGTCTCGGGAAGGAACGCTGGTTTTGTCGGGGCGGCGGTTGTCGGCGGCGAGGAAGAGGACCGCCGTGAGCAAGAAAGGGAGGAACTCTCGAGCGGGAACGTTTTTCCCTACCTAGGCTCTGCCTAAAAGGGTTCTTACTTGGTGGCTTAAAGGGCCGGGCAGTGGGGCCCGCCCCGGGCGGTTCCCCCAGTATCCGCCCCGCGGTTCCCCCAGTTGCGCCCCCTGGGCTCACCCAGCCTAGCCTAGCTGAGCCTAGCTTAGCTTATCTCAGCTCAGCTTAGCTTGTCTCATCCTAGCTAGTCTTAGATTAATTTCGCTTGGATTGGCCTGGCTTGGCTTAGCCTAGCTGGGCTTAGCTTAGCTCAGCCTAGCCAAATTTAGCTTAGCTTAATTTTGTTTAGTTTAGCATAGCTTAGCTTACCTTACCTTAGCTTAGCGCAGCCAAGCGCAGCGCCGCATTAGCACAGCATAGCATAGCATATCAAATCATAGCCAATCATAGCGTAGCATAGTTCAGCATAGCTCAGCATATCATAGCATAGTTCACCATATCATATCATAGCATAGCACAGCGCAGCATCTCATAGCATTGCATAGCATAGTCAAGCATTGCGTACCATCGCATATCGCAGCATATCATAGCATAACACAGCACAGCACGGCACATCATAGCATAGCATAGCGCAGCATAGCACAGCATAGCATAGCATAGCATAGCGCAGCATAGCATATCATAGCATAGCCTCGTATAGCATAACATAGCGTATATGCCGGTGTAGATGTTAATGTAGCTGTCGGTGTAAGTGTATATGTTGCGTTCCTAAATGCTCCAACTCCTAGGTAGGGTCGCGCTGGGATCATGTTTGCTGGGGGCGGCGCCGATGAGAGCAAGACTAGCGCGCCAGTCCGAGGTAAAGCGGGAAGAAGTCGCGAACGGAAGCGCTGGTTGTGTTAGGACGGCGGCCTTCGGCGACGAGCAAGAACACCAGCCCTGAGTAAAAAAGAAGGATATTCTGAGCGAGAGCGTTGTTGTTGTTGAGGGCCCGTGTTTGGCGGCCCCCCAAGCCGCTCGAGCGTGAGCCTCATTTTCAATGTAAATGTAGCGGGCGCCTCGGCGAGATTGCCGGGGCTCCTTTAAGGAGTTCAACATCAACAATTGCGTAGTAACTCACACCCAACAACAACAGCAGCAGCAACAACAACAATCAGTTTAGGACGTTCGCCTTTTATCTGCTCGCGTGTCCAATAACGCGTATTTCCCAAACCTTCGATGCCCGTCCTGTCCGTATCCGATCGACCCCCTCATGGGGGATATACCTTTTCATCCCTGCAGGCCAGGCCCCGGCAAGCGGCTGGGCGGCCGCGGACCGTCGGCCTGGCCAGCGGCAGCGCTGATCGGCAGGGCGGCCGCGGACCGTCGACCCGACCCCAAGAGGGGCGGACACGGGGACCGACCGCGACGACGACGACGACAACGACGACGACATCGACGACGACGGCGACGACGACGACGGCGACGACGACGACGACGACGAGCGAAAGCGAGAGCGAGAGAGAACGACAGCAGAGCCACAAGGACACGAAGTAGGCCACAAAGGGCGACAGCGGGGACAGTCTTTTGCCTGGATCTTCATAGTCCCTGCAATATGTTCCGTTGATCGATCATGGTCAGTGGGCTTCGCAGATGACATGGGGAAGAAGAGATAATGCCGCCAAGCACACACTAGGGCAACACTGAAGGGAGGAGGCTGGCCCGCCGGCCGACGCACGCGCGCGCAGCAGGCTCGCTCCTTCTCCGTTTTTTCTAGAGCTAAAGTGTAGCTGCAGGAGAGAAGCAGTCAGCGCAGCAGACAGTGCATGCACGGCTAGACAGCAGGATGGGCAACAGGATGGCGGTGCGGAAAGGGCGCATTGACTCCCCCCGCGGAGGGATCCGTAGAGTCGCCCCGAGCCCCAACCCACCTGGCCTGCACATGCGCGCAGCGGGAGCCGTTGTTGTTGTAACCCGGGGGCCAGGGGCCCAGTTTGAGCTTCAAGACTTTCCCTGGTAAAAAAAAAAAACAAAACAAAAAAAAAAAAAAAGGTGGGAGCGGCGAGGGGCACACTTTGATTGAAAACAATTGTATGCAACAACAACAACAACAACAACAACAACAACAGCAACAACAACAACAACAACAACAACAGCACCAACAACACCAACAACACCAACACCAACACCAACAACAACAACAACAACACCAACAACAACAACAACAGCAACAACAGCAAAACAACAACAACAACAACAACAACAACAACCACTGTAAGGCTGTACGCTCTTACTTGCCCGCGAGTCATTCAACACGTATACCCTACACCCTCGAAGCCCGCCCTCTTCGTTTTCGATCACACCCCTTTCGGGGGGATTCTGTCTCTTTGCTGGGGCCGGCGGGCTTAGACGTACGGGCAAACCAGAACGGGCGGACAATCCTTCGGGGGCGTACATCTCTCTGCCCGCCATTGGAATTGGCGCGGGCCCTGCAAGAGGAGGAGGGGAAGAACGAGGGAGAGTGGAGGAAGGGGAGGGGGAAGGACGAAGGAAGAGGGAAGATACCACGTTGTGAAGGCGTCCTTGGCGCGTGCGTGGTTCCTGAGCGCCGAAACGCAATTCCAGAATAATTTGTGAGGACGTCGCACGCGAGAGCGCAGTCCTGAGTACATTGTAAGGAAATCTCGGGCGGGAGCGGGGGCCCTGACTAAGTTGCGAGGAAGTCTCAAGCGGGAGCGCCGTTCCTGAGCAAATTGCACGGAAGTCTCAGGCGGGAGCGGGGTCCTCACTAAATTGCGAGGAAGTCTCAGGCGGGAGCGCCGTTCCTGAGTCAATTGCGCGGAAATGTCAGGCAGGAGCGGGGGTCCTGAGTAAAATTCGAAGAAGTCTCAGGCGGGAGCGCCGTTCCCACGTAAATTGCACGGAAGTCTCAGGCGGGAGCGGGGGTCTTGATTACATTGCGAGGAAGTCTCAGATGGGAGCGCCTTTCCTGAGTAAAATGCGCGGAAGTCTCAGGCGGGAGCGGGTGCGTCCTGAGAAAAATCGAAGAGTATCAGGCGGGAGCCGTTGTTGTTGTAGCAACGGGGCGGCAGAGGGCACGTTCTGAGCAGGAAACTTTCCTGGAGAAAAACCAAGGTGCGAGCCCGGGGGCGGCACTTTTCAATCGAAATAAAATCTTTGGTGCCACGGTTGGGGGGGTATATCACAAATAAGTAGTCTTCATAATGAACGTTTTAACAAACAACAACAACAACCAACAACAATGACAACAGAACAAAAACAACAACAACAACAACAACAACAACAACAACATACAATTACTAGACGTGGGACACTCCGGTTCTCACCAGTGCCAGGGTTTTCATAGGAGGCGGGCAATACCCCCACTTTGTGGGGGGGCCGGTTCAAGCTCTACCAAATTTCCAACGACTCTTCGCCACCACCCACACCCAGCTTCCCGCCCTATGACGTTCGGACACTTCACTTCGTGGCATGCGGACGACCGTGGCTACTATTCAGGGCCCCGCGGCCGACGACGACGGCGTGCGCGCGCGAAGAAAAAAACGAATGTGTCCCGCATGATATTATTTGACAGGGATGATGGCCCTGGCAGGTGCGCAACCGTTGTCGCAGAAGTTCGAAAAAGTTGCTCGCAAAAGCCCGGTTGACAGAAATGTTTAAAAAGTGTTGGGTTTCCTACGAATCCGCAAGAGCGCGCGGGATGAGATTTTGACAATTTTTTGTTGAAAAACCATTGGTTTTTTGATGTTTATGTTAAAATCGCTGCGAACACTAAGGTCGCTACGAAACCTAAGGTTTTGGAAGGATTTCGTCTTGCGAGCGCGAATGTCCACTTTACCTATTTTTTTGCAAGGGATTCTTGAAGTTTGGATAGTCGTAGAACAAGAAAGTCCACTTTTAGCTTATTTTTCCAAGGGAAATAAACCATGTTTGCAACACAAACCGGATTCCGGACTCCCCCTGTTTTGCCTGCGGACTTCCTCACGAAAATGATGAAAATGAGGCTGCGGCCTAGGCGCGGCGAGGGGGTCGTGCACCAGGGGTCCCAACAATAATTATTCTTTAGAAGTAATAATGTTCAACAACAACAACAACAACAACAACAACAACAACAACAGCAACAGAAAGAGCAACAGCAACAGCAACGGCAACAGCAACAGCAACAGCAACAGCAGCAACAACAACAATGACTTCAAGACTGTTCGCTCTTACTGGCACGCGTGTCTGGCATTCCGAATACCCCAAACCTCGATACCCGCCCACTTCGTCTTCGATTGCACCCCCTTTCGGGGTGAATATCTTGCTTGTCAGCCACTGACTGACGTGCGAAGAAGTCTCGAGCGAGAGCGCCGTTCATAAAATCTGGGGCCTCTCTGGCCAAGGGATCTCGGAATATCTATGGAGAAATATCGAACGGGAGCTCTTGTCGCCGTGTCCGGGCCTCCACCAACTTGCCTGAATTACGGGAGAGTCTCGAGCGAGAGCGCCGTTCCTGAGTTCGGGGGCCTTCTTGGTCAGGGGCTCTCGGAGTAAATCGTGAGGAACCCCGCGGCTGGGCCTCCGCCAACTTCACTGAATTGCGAGGAAGTCTCGAGCGAGAGTGCGGTTCCTGAGTTCGGGGGCCTCTCTGGCCAGGGTGTCTCGGAGTAAATTGTAAGGAAGTATCGAGCGGGAGACGTTGTTGTCGTGGCTTCGCCTCCAAGGGCCCACATTTAGGCTCAAGCCAACGCACGAGCGGGAGCCTCGCTTTCAGAGAAAATGTAGCCGGCGTCGAGGCGAGGCGCGCGGAACCGTTTCCAGAGATCAGCAAAAATTATTCTTCAGACATGAGTACTCAACAACAACAACTACAACAACACCAACAACAGCTGGTGAACGTTTTCTTTTTCGGCGTTTCGACATTGGGCGAAGTGGGGCCAAGGGGGGGGTCTGGCTCCGGACCTCTGTTGCATGCGACTGTTTGCAGCAGTGCGTCCTACGAGGGAGACGCCACCTGCTTGAACAGGCGCCAAAAACTGCTGGGAGGGGGGGAGGGGGGGTGCCAGGGCCCGCGCCGATCGGCAAAACGATGAATAAGAAAGCGATCGCCGACGCAAATCCTAGAACATCCTCCTCCTCTACTCCCTACTCCTGGAACCTCGCCTTGGCCTGTTCCAGAATGTTCTGGGCCATGGCTCCGGCTGGCAAGTGTCACAGGGCGCTGCTCGCGCGGGGGGCCTGCCTGAGCGGGTCGGGCTCCGGAGCGAGGCTCGGCCTGAGCACCTGAACACAAAAGGGCTGCAGGGACGACGAGGACGACGAGGGAGAGGACGACGAGGACGAGGATGAGGAGGAGCATGAGCAAAGAGAAAAAAAGGGGGAAACAAAGATGGGGAAGGGGAGGGGGGAGGGGGAGAGGGGAGG